TGGGAAGAGGTATTACCTAAACCTGGAATTACACAGCCACTGTTTTTTTTTTGTTAATACCATTGAATGCGCTCTCAAGACAAATTTAAACCAGAGAACCTCAAGTAGGGTAGTTTTCCTCGCGGTTCCACTCTGTTAATTCGATCTTCATCATTTCATCAGCCATGCTGATGAAATGATGAAGAAGAAGGTCGAGCATCGCTAAAGGCAGCGGATCAAGGACAGGTTCGCAAGGGGTTCAGAGGGAACGTGGGAGTGCTCAAATAGTTAGACGCAGTGGCAAAAAAAAAACAGACAAATGCCTGACAATCGCAAACTGTGACCTATGATGTATAGACCGCTGATTTCGCCTCATGAAGGTACATGGCTAGTCAGTGACGCGGGTGACAGCAAAGGCGTTTTGCTGGCGCGTATGGCAAACCATGACTTCAGTCAGCTGCTCAAGTTCGGTTGTGGCTTGCTGGCTTGGGAACCATAGCGCGATAGCGAAACACGCAACTGAAACTAAGTGGGGTGGAGTAGCAAGGGGGGGGGCGAGGACGATTTTCAAGTAGTGCTCAGCAACCCGCGCACCTATCGTCGTAAAAGCGCCACATCTTGCTTCCTTGGCAGCCAAGCTACTGTATTGTGTAGCACATATATTTCCCGCCGAAACGCTCCCTTTATCGTGATCGCTTGGTTAAGCAGGGAAACTGGACAAGGTTAGCCTGGCACGAATTTAACGGTGGTACTTCTCGCTAAAGTTACAAGCAACACCGTGAACGTACCGATGTGTTAGGTCTTCGGTGAACTTTGACGCAGGTATTGTCGAGGTACTGCTTGCAAGTATAATTTCTGAAGATGCACATTTATCCATTTCAGAGAAGACTTTCTTTTTGAATTCAACTGTTTCACATGTGGATTCCTAAAACCGATTTTATTTCTCTTTGTCGAATCATTTTTGCTCAAAAGCAGGCATCACAACGGCTGAAGGGCGGTGCGGTTTTGATGACGTCATTAAATAGCATTGGTGGATTAAACCCCTCCTTGTGCTGGGGGCGTGGTTGAAGCCGCCTCTTAACGCCCTTACACAAATGAAGTTCAGATGACGTTATTCGAAACTGCACTGCCCTCCGGCTATCGTGTCCTTTTCCTTTGAACGGTAATTCTGCTTCTCAAAAGGCATGGCAAATTCAGGCAATGCTCATGGACCCCTATGAGCATACAGGCTAGAAACTTATTTCAACTAAATTTTGATCCCAGCCAAAGTTCAATAAGAATCCGTCCTGCCTAATGTTCTGCGTAGCCTCCACGCGACCTCAGTCTCTAACAGAGCACAATAATGACGAGAAAGCAAACCCATTTCGGGTTTTGTATCGCTATAGGCACATTCTATCGCTTGACGGTGAGTAAGGACATCCTCGTTAAGTAAAGAAGAACGGTCGAAGGAGGCGCAGAGGTACCGATTTCGCGGCTCAGATGTATGTGATGAATTCGTTAAGGGCTTATGGTGATACCGGGATCCGCCCTGGAATGGCTGCGATTAGGTGCGCTGATTTCTGCGCCTTGTTCTTTCATCTTATCGAATTACGCTCGCTCTTTGTGACACCTAGTGTTTCCTCGCCAAAAGCTCGCACAGGGCCCAACAGTAACTGCAAAAGGAAGTCTTCAATTGGGTATGATTGGATTTCCGCACACCTGCAGTTTCATATTTCCATATTTGAACCCACTACCAACTTCCTGCTTTCATGGAATTCGCTTTTACGTCAACTGTCTTCAAGAATCACAAATCTGTAAATTTACCTGCGCATAAATAGCGCCGGCAAGAGCTTCACTCAGCCTTAAGGTCGTGGGAAATCCTTCCTGGCAGCCTCTTCAACTGTTGTCGTGCCTCTTGAAAGACCTTCGCTCTGGAATGCGGACTCATTTATTCTCTCATTGGAATGAAGAAGCGCATAACTGTTCTTGATGAGCTTAATTTAGGAAGAGTGGGGTCAACCGTAATTTCTGGCAAATTTCGGCAGACCCATCCTGGAAGGTGCCCATACGACCCAACTTCGATGCGCCAAGCTGATCCCACCTCCCCTCTTCAAAAATTGTCCTCCAAAAGCATAAAACCACTGCTATCGGATATGACCGTCCTAAAATTCACATCATGATCCCCCTCACCTCTTTGAACTTTGCCCATCGGATGGTTGACCCTTGATACAAGCGCTTCGCTCCCACAACAACCCTCTTAGGAAAAGTTCTGCACTCAAAAGAGGATTCCATGATAAGGTCGGAGGTCGGATAAATGGAAACTTACATACCTTGTGAAAAGACAGACGAATCCCCTAATGGTGGGCACCGACACGTAATTCCCAGCGAAGAATAAGCCTCCGGTGATCTGGCATGGCCGTCCCCGCGCCGCTGTCGCCTCTGCCCGCCCAACCCTCGCCGTCTGGTTCTAGCCGTCTAGAGAGAGAGCGTTAGCGTTGATGAGGTCAGCACCGATGAGACACGCCTAATGCGCAAATCAACGGGCAAAAGGGTCCCACTCTTCGGGTTTACGTTGTTTTTGTTGGTTTTTTCTTCAGTCCTGAATCACTGACCATTTCTTCCTCGATCTCTAGGTGGCTGTCATCATAAACTCCGCCTCTAATTCATAAACGTGGAAAAGATCCAATTGAATTTGCCTGGATGCCTTCTCACTGTGTGGAGAGGAGATAAATGTCGATTATCCGCAGTTGATTAAGATTCCTTCCAAAACGCCATTACCGATGATCAACTTACCTTCAGTTTTTGTAGATTATGCAATATGTGTTTCTTGGCTGAATCGAGCTGAGCATCCGAAATGTCGTAAAGACAAACTGAGTAACCTGCGCTAACGAACAAGGTAGCCCAACATGATCCTATCAATCCGCTGCAAAGATCAGAATTGTGGGGGTTACTGAAACCACAAGAAAAAAGTTCTAAATGAAAGCTGGTTTTAGATCTTGGTGCGCACCATCCGCGCTCGTACTTGGAGGTGTGCAGTCAATTTTTGCTTCTATAAACAATGCTTACTTAGGCGCTGTCGCGTGACGGAGGGTCATTGCTGTTGCAACGCATTCAAAACCGCGGCAAACATTTTTTTGGGCGCTCATGTACTTGGAGGGGGGGGGGACATCCAAGTGAGTGAGCCAATTACTGTGCTTGGGACAAAGCCTTAGGCAGGGGAAGGGATTCTGTGGGAAGATGCAAGCAATATGTGTGCTCCCTGGCGTTTCTCCCTCTCCCTTATGGGCTTATTGTTGGTCCTAGTGTTACCTAACATCGGCTCCGTTGGGTTGTCCTCCCCCACCCCTCAAGGAGATGAGCGCCTTTTTGAGTCAGTTTTAGGATCAAACAAACTTTAGGGGAGAGGAAAACAAGGGTGCATAAGTTACTTTCGTTTTCCCCAAGTTCCCCTTCCTACGTCCAGTACTAACCATAGGAGATGCTCTTCCCCCATTGGCGCTTATGCCATTGGTGGGGTAGGGGGTATGAGTGATCCACTTTCAGAACTTGAGAAATCGAGACAAAGCCAGGGAGAGATAGGAATTCCGGAGGGAAACGTGAGCAGTTTGTGCTCTCTGGCGTTTCCTCCTCTCCTGGGCCTAGTCCAGGTGTCACCTACTATCAGCACCAGCACTGTTTGGATGTTCCCCCCCCCCCCCCACCTCCACCCCGAGGCCATGAACGCCCGCCTATGTTGCGAGGGCTCGCTCATTCTCTTACTATGAAACAACGTGTGGGCCACATAAACTTCTGATTGAGCAAGAACTCACCTTCCCACAATTGCTACCTTTCCTTTCCCTTGAGCCATAGAAAATGCTATCTGAAATAAGAATTTCAGTATCGCTGCTTCAGAACCAGTTGAAACGAGTTTGACACGAGATTAAAGTCGAAAGAGTTCCAGTTCCACTCATCGTTTATGGGATGGACGGTAGACAATGGGTGATTTCCCAGATCTCGATCCGCTCAAAGGATGATTTGAGTGTGTGAGAGATGGGTATTGATCAGGGAGAGGAGCGTGTTCCCCCTAACAATGGCTAACTCAAGAATCGCATGTTAAGTGATGAAGTTTGCACGAATAAAAATAATTAGGTATTCACCACTAATCAAACCCCTTTCTAGATTACGTAACCCATTCAACAGGCAAATCTCAAACTAACAAGACAGTCGTCATGGAAAATCAATGGGGCTAGAAAGGCTCAAGTGAACAGCAATAATATTATGAAAGTTATCAAACAGAAGGCGCTCACTTCCTCGGGGGAAGGGGGACATCCAAGTGAGTGATTACTGTGCTTGGATCTAACAGGGGGGGGGATCTTTCAGGACATACAGCGTTTCTTCCAAATGGTTCCCTGGTTGTTGTAGAGGCTCATGTGAGGAACACAGAACCATGGTCCATTTTTCCTAAACGCCCCCCGGAATGTCAAAACAGCGGGGAAGAAATGGTCCAAAGTTCAATCCTCGTGATGACAAATTTTTGCAATTCATGTTGGCGCCTCCAAAATGCCACAAAACACGACAATGACATCTATTCTCGACGATGGCGCCATTTGGCGGCAATCTGGGGCGCCAAACTATATTGCAAAAATTAGTCATCACCACCGAGGATCGAACGCTGGACCATTTTGTCACCTTTTTGCATTCCTGGAGGCGTTCAGGAAAAATGGATAATGGTTCTGTGTTCCTCGTATGAGCCTCTACAATATGCAGAAAACCATTTCGAAAAAGCGCTCCATGTCCTGAAAGACCTCCCTTGTAAGGCTGCTACCCCATCACTTGCCGTACAGGTTAAAGGCGGTCGGAACTGAATTAGTGTGTTATTTTGTTCGAACGAATTTTACAAGAAGTGCGATAGGGAACGTGAGTGGGCATAAAAGCTAAAAGCACTGTAGGAAACACTGAAATTTCCCCATGACGGCGACCGTGGTATAACGGAGGGATAAAGCGTTATGAGGAGAGGGAAAGCGCGAGAGGGCGCAAACGCCACGTATGCCGCGATTGATAAAATGGCAGCGCCGGTAGCGTCCAACAGCCTTTAACGCCCTTACCATGCACTTTTGAGTCGCGGCAGTGCCGCCGACTCCAGAACCTGGGGACCCCTACCTCTACTCTAGGAGGGAAGACTTCTTGGTACCTGGTCCGGACCCGTGGCTTCAAAAATGTATTCCAAAGGCACTGCGATTCTGAGAGGAAACCAATTTTGCATCAAATCTCAAAAACATGATGATCAGCGCGGAAACCTTTAGTTGAAGACTTGAGAGACATGGAAGAGTATACAAAACATTGATAAGATTCACTTCAGAAGGACACTTCAACGACTTCCACACAATTATAGAACACGAATCGAGCCCGAGCACCTGGTCCTAAAGGCGAATATGAGAACGAACTGTGAAATTCGACAAACAAGCAAAAATATAGGAGAAATTGTCACACAGAGTGCCAATAATCAGCTATGCTGATCGCCTTCATAGCGCATTGAATATCAGTCAGTAACACGGAAGTCGCGAAAGTGGAACGGCATGCATTTCAATCGATTATCAGCGAGAAAAATCGCCTAATGACCGCTGTGACAGCACCAGCGCCAAAGTGACGTCACTTCAGACGTGGGTGTGGCTCAGAGTGGGCCTTAGTAGAAAAGATGAGACATGTAACGTTATTCAATGTTTCTCTTGGGATGAGCCACACATCCGACTTGCATCAAAAAGTTCCGTACGAAGTAAAATGCTTGAGTAGCGCCACTGAGAGTAGGCAGACTTCGAGAGGGCAGTGCATGTTCAAGCCCATGTGCGCAACCCGCGGCGAGGGGTAGTGCCAAAAGTGGGGGTGGGTCGCACTCTGTAGAATAGGAGAGTCGGCGAGTGTGAAAATTTTGGGGAATATTTGGATATTTTGGAAAAATTTTACAGCATCTGAATTTCGGGATTTTCAGATTGCAGAGCACCCTTCCTTTGAAGGCAGATTTACGATGAAAAGTTAGCTCATTGGAAATAAGGGTAGAGGTGGTCAGTGGAGCAGGGATGAAGAAGAAACCATTTGAAACGGCCCGAAACCCGAGAAATGGGACCCCTTCCTTGCCCGTTGATTTGCGCATTGATGCGACTCTCATCGCTGTGCCCTCTTCAACACTACGCTCTCTCTGCTATCTAATCATAGACCTGCGGCGAGTGATTAGATAGTCGGTGGGCGTACCCCGCCAACCGCGCCAAGAGTGAGCCATGCTAGATCGCCGAGGTCAAATCTTTCGCTGCCAATTGCGCGTCGGTCAGCACCCTCAGGAGGTCCGCCTGTCTCCCAACTATGCAATTTTCCCCTTCTTTGACCTTCGTTCTTATCGTGAATTCCTCATTTACCAGACTGTCTGAGTTGATGGAAATCTGTTGAAAGTTGAGAATTATTCAAAAAACTGAGGAATAAAATGAAAGACAAGGGAACGAAACCATTAGATTTTTGACCGTGCGAACCTTAGATGTTGGAACACGCACCAAATGGTGCGCAAATTTGGGTAAAGGAGAAGTAGGCAATTACATTGGTGATAGGTCGGACGAGGCTTTGTTCTTGAAGACACACCCCACGATGAATTCAGATGAACCAGTACCTTTGGTGGGCAGGAGAGAGCTGTTCACAGTGGTCCCTGATGTCCATTCCTACGGTTAAAAAGTGCGCGAAAACGACGCCAGTGTCTTGCCCAAAACCGCTCTGAACCCTTCCTCTTTCCTGGTTCTCAATACGTGGATATCTGCGCTCTCTCCTTGTTGTACTCCCTCGCCTACCCTCTCTCCTTCATTTCCTTATCATGAAAATGGGGAGCCCTTTATTTCTGAGGCGAATTGACAACGAAAGGTAGCCCACAGAGTTCAAGGTAGAGGTTGTCGTTGGTACAGGGATGAAGAAAAACCATGAGAAACGGCCCAGAACCCGAGAAATGGAACCCTTTTTGCCCGTTGCTTTTTGCATTGATGCGACTCTCATCGATGCCGTGTTGCTTTCATCTAACCAGCTCAACATGAATGACCCAGTAAGCAGATAGTGTAAGATCAGATCATGATCCTCCAGTGATAGCGCATCTTGTTCTCGCCCTAGTACGAGGTATGTCTCAGTGATGTTGTGAAAGGCGGTGTGGTTGGATGCTCACTTCGACGGCAAGGTCAGCCTCCAGTGGCAGTCTTGGCTATTCTGGCCTTTGCCTATAAACTGAACTTTCAGATCACTATGTACACTACTTTTGCTAAACTTATTCGACGTCCTCTCCTTTGAAAGAAACTACAAATTCGGTGAGATTTGTAAGAGGATTCGCGTGCTGAAAATTGAAGTACTGGCGCAGTACTGCTCAACAA